CTTTGACCTTTAGGTCGATAGAAAATTGGACTTTTAATGCCCTTCATTGGCCTGCTTCTTGACACTTTCCTTCCTACCCCTGGTTTGACTTTACTTCTTGTGTATTCAGGATCTTGCCGGGACTGGGTAGCACAGACAGAACTATGACCTGATGAAATGCTCCTAAACCCACTGCCGCTGAGTCCGACTCATAGCCACCCTATAGGCAGAGTAGAGCTGTCCCATGGAGTTTCCAAGGAGCACCTGGTGGATTTGAATGGCTAACCTTTTGGTTAGCAGCCATAGCACTTAACCACTATGCCACCGAGGTTTCCCAAGTGCTCCTACTCAAACAGAATTCCAGAAGACCTAAAATTAAAGTGTACCCCACTTCCTCCTTTATGGGTGTGTGTGTGTGTGTGTGTGTGTGTGTGTGTGTGTGTGTGTGAGTGATTCCCTGCTTTGTCAGTCCTTCTCAACTAGTGAAGGATTCAAAGTGAAACATAATGTTATAATCTACACATTAAATATACAACATGTAATGATTTAATATTGGGAACTACATTTTAAACACTTCCCATCAGATTTAGAGCCATTGGGTGATAAGTTCATAATTTCACTTAACATCAATGATATTGGCATCCTGTGGTATTATCTACTAGGCTCTACCAAATTAACAATTGAGTGCAAATTTCTTTTTGTACCATGAACTTTAAGAGAATGTAGATGCCCATATGATGAAAAATGAATCTGGTAATTTCAACTTCTTTCAGATTTGGAGATTGTTTGCATCATATATATATACATATATATATATGTACATATATGTATATGTAATAATGATCCACTAATTTATGTTGAAAATCAAGTTGATTTTCATTCCAGGAATACAAATGATTTGTTTTATCTTGTATTGATTTTTATGACTATCAAAAGATGTTCCAGACTAATTTTTGCATGGTATTACAAAATAATCCAGAAATAGTTTCATTATGGATAAAATTTCTACATTTTTTTCTGATACAAAAAATTCGCAATCCTGATATATGAAAAAGATGCTTAAAATTTACTTAAATTTTTGCATGTATTTCATTTATTTAAATTAATTTGTTATATATATTTTAATAATAATATTCAAGAAGCTATGCACTTAGAACAATTAGCATGTACTAACACGTAAACCAAAGTAAGCACCAAACAATTTGGAGATTCTAGCAATTACAGAAATCATAGGTAATGATAAACTGATGATTCTACTGAAACACGGAATGCTTCGTAAAATCTATGCAGTGCAACAACCTTGTCTGTCAAGACATAAGCCTAACAAACTATCAGTTCTGAAAAACTGTTCTCAGATGTTGCTATAATAGGAATTCCATTCATCATGTACCCTACAAAATGTATCCTTTATCATGTATCCTGCTATGACTGGCTTGGACTAAGTTAATATTACAATTTCTGTAAGTAATTAATTTTATCAATGCTCTAACAGATTTGTGGGGTAGTAAGTTAGGTGAGACATAGGAAAGAGGAGTCAGGGAGGCCATGAAAAGTAATCTGGTTTATTCTTCTCACAGTTCCCAGAGTCTGGGAGGCACAGCATACCATGACACAGGGCCACACAGGGTGTTTCACCCAGATACTAGGTAGCAAGAAGGTGAAAAGTAAGAGAGGGCTTAAGTATGGCAAGCAGGGTGGGGTTTGCTAGGTTTCTCGGGCTTCCTGGGATTAGGCATTTTGAAAAATTCTGCAGGATCAGAAAGCAGAGGAACTGTTTCCTAGTTGTTGGGTACTTGGCCCTGGGTGATTAGGGTGGGTACGTAGTGAACCCAGGATGTGAGAACCTAATGTGGGGAGTGGTTGGAGAGTCAACTTAATCAGCTGCTCAAGAAGAGGAATAATAGACTGGCTTTCAGTCAGGACCTCAAAACTGTGTCAAGATGATATTTTAAGAAAATAGTATTGCAATCAGTTATTTCACTTTACAATTATATATTTGCTTAAAGGTATGGTTATATTGCAATATTTTAACGATTGGTAGGCTTTATTGGTGCATACTCATCCTGAGAGGCACAAATGGTTTATCATTCAGCTTCTAACCAAAAGGCTGGCAGTTTGAGTCCATCCAGAGGCACCTCGAAGAAATCGCCTGGTGATCTACTTCCAAAAATTAATCCATTGAAAACCGTATGGAGTACAGTTCTACTCTGACACACGTGGGGTCGTCATGAGTCAGAATCGACTTGATGACAACTGGTTTTGGTTCATTGGTACACACTAGCTGAATACAATCTTGGAGTTAGAGTATGAGATGTGTGGTTAGATGGGAGTGAGGAACAAACAGCCTAGCTTTTGAGTGGAAAGTGCATTTTATTTCTGAGACATACTAATATTATTGGTGAGGACTGTAAGAGTCTAAGTAGGCTCTAGATTTGATTGCTGTAAAGGTAGCACAAACACTCTTTATGTGTTTCCAACTTAGCAGCTCCTCTTTAAGGATCCTGTGTTTAACAATAGAATGACAATATCTGTAAAGAATATCAGGAAAGCTATGAAAAGCATTTTATATCCCCATCACACTTCACTTTCACTTTATAAGGGCCACTGGTCTATGGAATGGTAGGAGACTCCAGGTTTTAATTATATATTCTTTTAATAAATTATGTCTTTAAAATATGCCTTTGTTGTTAATGGCATGTGTTTTTTGTTTTGTTTTGTTTTTTTAATCTGATTTCTGGATTGTAATTTTAAAATGAAAATGATATTTTCTGCTTTATATCAATTAATTTACTTATTAGAATTAGAAAATGTTGTAATGTGTTCTAAATCAGTGGTTCTTAACCAGGGCCATGCATCAAAATCACCTGTGGAGCTAAAAAAAAAGAAAAAAAAGCCGATGAGAACCCACCTCGTCCACTCTCTCATGCATTTTGGGGAAAAAAAAAAAGTACCCATGCCCAATCTCCGAAAACAGATGGACTGATCAGCACCTTGAGAAGGAGAAACGAAAGGACCAGGGACACGGGGTTTCAAAGCTTCACAGGTGCTTCTGATTTCCATTCCTGATGAAAAATCACTATTTGAAAGGAATGTTCCAAAAAAGAAAGAAAGAAAAACCATAATGTGTGTTACGAGTTAAGGGTAGGAAATGAAATTTGAATAGTAACCTTGTTTCTGTACCACACAACAATATAGTCTTTGCTTTTCCTATAATAATGCATTGCTTCCTAGTAAAGTATCCCCGGCTTGCCAAGTTAAGGTACTACCTTTGAATGCACCAGCTCTTTTGTTTTCTGCATGATCTAGCTCAAAAAGGTAAGCAATTAGAAAATGAAAGGCCCATTTGTTCATTCTGTTAAACTCAGTTCTTTCTGCTGTTGGTACTTATAAGTCTACATTCTGAGCATTCTTCCACTGCTGAAAGACATTGGGAAGATACTGAGGTGGGAAGTAGTTAAGGAAAACTTATCTTGACCGTTCAGTGATTCTCAAACCTTAATGTGCTTTAGAATCACCTGGAGAGCTTGTTAAAACAAAGATTTTTTCCCCTCACCCCAGAGTTTCTGAAATTAGTAGATCTGGGGTGCGACCCTAGAAGTTACATTTCTAGAAGTTCCCAGGTGATGCTGCTCCTGCTGGTTCAAGCACCCCAGTTTGAGAATCACTGCTTTACTCTCTAGTTACCCTCTTGGATAGACTTAGACTTAAGGTGCCAGAAAATTCTTTGTAACACCATCTAAATAGGAGCCCTGATAGAAAATTTACACAATTCTTTAACAAATATGTTTGTATAAATTAATTTGAACTAAGGCTATAAAAACCTTATTGCTAGGACTTAGAAAATTAATGCTTAATGCTTTTTCCCTCCCCGACCTCAAAATAAGTACACTTTTCCTCAAACTGTAAGTGGTTTTCTTCCACCAAATAAACCAGCAATTACACAGAACTTTCTATAATACCGTGGCTGGGAAAAAAATCAAAATGAAAACCTTGAGCATGAATGGGAATTCACTAATTTAGCTCAATGCCCCAAAGAAAAGCAATGTAAAATTCAATCTAACGATAGAGATTAACCCAAATTAGTGCCAAATATTATACTTTCTATGGAGTGGAAATGTTTTAGTATTATTGTCACAGCTACATATGCCTTAGGGAACACAATTAACTTGTGCCAGAAGTGCGGGGTTTCATTGGTCCATCACTGCACATGGGAAGAAGCACAGCCAAACGTCAAACACTTGTTTTCTCATGTCTAATACGCAGATTTCCATGAATAAATTTGTTCATTAGACGTCTGTAAATTATGAACATAAATTACTTGACGTGTACAATAGTTTTAATAAATCTTTCCACTGAATTATTTTCCCCACTAAAAATTTTATTGCTATTTAATATATTTGGTTTGTAAGCCATTCCTTAGCAGAGTAGACTTATGTCATGAGAATTTCTATTTTTTTCTGAAATTTCACTGCCAATATAGTTTGATCCTCTTGTTAAGTGCCCTGTTATAGTTTACCTTTAGTCCATTTTGAGCAGCCTGTAGACATTTAAATGGTACTATTAATTAAACAGATATTCTTTCAGCAAGAACCTGTAGTTTTTGCTTGTTTCCAAGTAGACACCAGTTGAAAATTGCAGTTAACCAGCTGTCTCTGTGGTAGTCCACTTATAAAGCTGCTATACCTTTCAACCCAGCTGATTTTAAAGTCTCCTCAATTATGCAGGCAGTTTACATGGGCTAGTTTACACAGCCTCCCCAAACTACCACTCATTTTTGCCTAAAGGAGACCTGAATAATTTTATTTTTCCAGGCAGAATTAGAGTCCTGCACTTTCAACTCCAATTTGGTGTCACGTTGCCCTACAGGAGGGGGCAGAGTAGCTTACTTTGCAGTCATCACAGGCCATCATGCTTCAGTATCCAGGAAAATGAATGTCAGCCACATTATTGCTCAGAACTGAAAAAAAAAAGAGGCAGTCCCAGTGCTTAACTCTCTCTCTTCTCTGTTTGCTTCTGTCTAGCCCAGGAACAGCAGCAATTGATACACAGCAACCAGGCTGAGAGTCAAACAGCTGTTGGCAACAAGACAGCCACTCAGCAACAGCAACAGCAGCAGCAAGACTGTGGTGACCCAGGTCATGGATTGTAATTACTATTATCTCTAACCCAATTATTGTCAACACTATTTATTACAACTTCCAAACAAGAAATCTCTTGGCTGTTGAATGTTTGATGACAACGCATTAAAATACCACTCAAACCCTTTATATATTGGTACTGGATGAAAGGACCATTTCTAATTATTGAAGCTCTGTGTGCAAATACAGAATGAAAACTCAAATGCTGTGATACTCTGTTGTAAGGAAATCACAGGCTTCCAAAATAAAATCAAACTTCTGTTGTCTAAAGAGTGCAATCATGGAAGAACCTTGCTATGTAAGGAACAACTTGATCATATTAAAAAACCAAAAACCAAACCCGCTGCTGTGGAGTCAATTCTGACTCATAGCAACCCTATAAGACAGAGTAGAACTGCCCCACGGGGTTTCCAAGTAGCACCTGGTGGATTCGAACTGCCTACCTTTTGTTTAGCAGCCATAGCTCTTAACCACTACACCACCAGGGTTTTCGATCATATTAAAAGTCGCTAAGAAAGTCCTGTTTCATTTATTTGGTATGAGACCGCTAAAGGGATAATGAACATTGACTGAGGAAAAGAATTGTGATTAAGAACCCACAAGACATTTGTGTTGATCCAAAGTTGGCATGTCACGTATTTTCTCATTTTTCTAATAATTAATACTTTTTTCATTTATTTAAAGCTCAATTTTAGCCTTTAAAACATAAGATTAGTTATGTTAAACATACCACTTTACTGTACTTCGTATGGCTCTAGTCATACAAAATAAGTCACTTGAATTGAGAAATGTATCTTAAGGGGATTGCTTTAAGGATGCAAGCCGCAATGCATTGGAAATGAGCTCTTGGGTTTTTGTTTGTTTTTTTAAGGAATTGAAATTGAGTATCTTTACAAAATACTGTAAAATCTTCCTTGAGTAACTGAATTGCATATGTAAGGGGATGGAGAGTACCATTCATACATAAAGCAATTCAAACTAAATTCCAAATCTGTGTCTCTCATTAAAGAATACTTCAAGAAAGAATATATATGCAACTACATATACAGAGAGAGCTATTCATATTGGAAACTCTGTGGGTCAGTTCTACTCTGTCCTATAGGGTTTCTATGAGTCAAAATCAACTCAATGGCATTGAGTCTGATTTTTTGGTTTATGCGTTTTTAATGCTAGAGCATTGGATTTGGAAGCAGAAAATGAGCCATGAGCTCTGTAACTTCATGCAAGTTACTTAGGTTTTTTGACCCTCAGTTGCTTCATCTGTTATGAGGGTAACATCAACTCTCTACTTTTGGAAAAAGAAAAATACTGTGAAAATGCTAGGCAAAATCAAAACATTTTGGAAATCTAAGATAGTATAATACTTTCTACAGATTTGTATCCCTAAATACTCTAACATTGACACTGTTCGCTAAGTGAATATAGTCTATATTTTCAAATATATTAGTGCAAACATGGTTTATTTGGATTACCTTAAAAACTACCACAATATTTTAATGCTTTAAAAATCTATTTTTATAATGGTTCAAATTTTCTCTCAATCTACATGCAGCAGTGATGCAAAAAATGACCGAGCAGATGAACCACCAGGCAATGAAATTGAATTTCCTGCAGAAGAAGATGGACAATATTTCTTCGGTGGTGAATGATGTAAGGAACACATACTCCTCCCTGGAAGGGAAAATTGGTGAAGATAAAGGCAGGGAATTTCAATCTTTTCTAAAAGGTAAAAACAAAATAAATTATTCATTCAGTTAAAGCAAAAGGCAAATGATTCATTTATCTTTTCTCACATTGCTTTGGGATCTTCAACGTTAGATCAGGTGGTATGGAAGCCTAAGCCATATACATACATATTTGTTTTTATTGTACTTTAGATGAAGGTCTACAGAACAAATAGTTTCTCATTAAACAGTTAGTACACATACTGTTTTATGACAATGATTAACAGCCCCACGACCTGTCAACCCTGTCCCTTCTCAACCTTGGGTTCTCTATTACCAGCTTTCCTGTCCCTTCCTGCTTTCTAGTCCTTGTCCCTGGACTGTTGTGCCCCATTGGTCTCATTTTGTCTTATGGGGCTGAGAGCCATATATTTTTTAATGAGGAATTAAAAAAATTACTCAATTTCCCAAATATTTTGATAGATCTTAATATGTTATACTATATAGTCGAAACCTTGAATATTTCTTCTGGTTGATTGACATGTATGTAGTTATAGTCTAACATAATTATTTATAGTTAATAGGAGCCCATACTTATTTTACTTCCATTGTGTTATGCAGTTCAAGAATGGGAATGAGGTTAAAGTTTGAATTATCAAGGCGGCTAGGTGCATGTTTTTCTCAATAATATAGATGGATATATCCCAGGAATTATCTAAGTCATGGAGTATAATCAGCAAAATATAAAAAATTTCAATTCGAAGAAATAATCATTTTTTAATTACTGTGAATAGGCATTACCTGAATTTTGTGCTCTTAAAACAACAGGAATTTATTAACCTACAGTTCTGTAGGTCAGAAGTCTGGGGCAGGTTTTACGGGGCTAAAATCAAGATGCAGCCAGCTGCATTCCTTTCTGAAGGCTCTAAGGGACAATCTGTTTCCTGTTAATTCAAGCTGTTGACAGAATTCAGTTATTTGTACCTGTAGGACTGAGGTCCCTGTTTTCTTGCTGGCTATAAACTGAGGGTCCATCCCAGCTTCTAGAGTCCACCACGTCTTTGACTTGTGGCCCTCTTCATCTTCAAAGCTAACAACAGCTTATTGAGTCCTCACATCACTTCTCTGACCCACTCTTCCTTTCTTCTCTTCTACTTTTAAGGAATCATGTAATTAGGTTGAGCCCAACCAGATAATCTAGGATAATCTCATCTCAAAATCCTTAACCTTAATCACATTTGCAAAGTCCCTTCTGCCATGTAAGGTAACATAGTCACAGGTTCTGGGGAATAGGATGTGGACACCTTTTTGGGGGGGGAGGGGAAGTGATTCTGCCTATCACAGAGATATATATAGTGAGTAATTGCTATGGTAGGGTTATGTACAGAGTATAATGGGACCATATAAGAGTGGAAACTAATCCAATCTGAGAGAACCAGGGAAGGCTTCTAGGAAGAGAAACCTCAACCGATGAGTGATGGAGCAGGAGAATTTGACCAGTCAAAAGGGTTTCAGTTCAGGTAAGTAGTTTGCTTACGAGGAATGTCACAACTCATTGGGTTTTTTGTATGTTTCCAAACTTCAGGATTACTAATATCTTTCATTTTGCTTTATTCATAAAGAAGACGCATTGTACAACCCCCATTTCCATTGCTCACAAATTATCTTCTCTTTATTGTGGTTCACAGATAAAGAGATAAACTGGTGGAGGTTTTCCATACCTTCTACCAGTACATACACCTTCACACCTTAACAGCAACCATGATTTTTTTTTTTTCTACTCATGTAAATAATTGGAGCTTTTTAGCCACTGAGAAAAAGGACCTTGTTCTACATATATGGCATGCCCTATAGCCAACACTAACCAATGGCAAGCATGAGAGAGGAACTTTTTTTTCCTGAAGTGATAAAGTGAGAAGTCAAGTAGTAACAATATATAACTGACTCTATCCACCTTAATAAAATTTGTTTCATAAAATTTGGTTATCGTGACCTGAGAGAATTAAGCCTGTCACCTGCTTTTTGTGAATCTACTAACAAAAATTCTGTCACTGACACAGAAAAAAACAGACACTCACAACAATAAAATTCCCTCCTCAATAGGAAGCATTGATTGTGTGCTAAACACAGTCATTAATTACAGGAACCTCAGGGCTTGTACTCAGTTAATGAATGTTCTTAGAGGCAACAGAAACTAAAGCCATCCCCAAGGTGCCGTACTTGCCTAGCAAAGCCACAGCCTCCTCCCTTGCTTAATCTGCATCCAATGTGAAAAACACTTATTTTCTTAAATCTGTGAGTAGCCATAGAAACTCTTCAAAATCAACTGTCTCAATTCTTTAACAAGAATCTAAATGTTAAGAAAAAGCATATATTCACAATCACAGAAAGGACTTACCAAGATATATGATATCAAATATAAATATATCTAAGTCACCAAATACAGCATCATCTTTTTAAGAAAGAAGAAGCCCATGAGTGACATGAATCAGAATCAAATAAAATTAAAATGACCTGTCCATTCAGGTATTAACATAAAGTGCTTTGGTAACAAGCTGTAGAAATGTTATTTGACACATTCCTTATCCAGAGACAAGTTTTTTAACTAATAATCTGTTGGTTATATTTTCAGACACTGCTGTCATTTTGCCCTTTTTCCCACTTGATTCTCCATTGAAGTTTTAAAGCATAACAGCAGTGAAGAATCTGGTTTTTTAATTTTTAATTTTTTCCCAATTACTTTGATTCTGTGCTAAATTTTATCTACAGTGCTTTTGTCTACTATCATTCTGACTTCTATGCCCTACAGTGTTTATTTGAGGAAGTTAAATACTTATTATCAATGTCCACAATGAACTATTTCAATTATGCTTAACCATGAAAAACATTTTAAAAACAAAATTATAAAGTTGTAAATTCCAAAAAGCCTGATTCCAAACATTAAACATTTTATTTTATTTCATCAAGTTTTTGGTGTCATGAGAATTAATGACAATTTTAAAGAACATTAAATGACTAAATGGTCTTGTAGAAAGAGTAATAAAAATAATTTTACTATCGAGTAACACATTATGTTACTGCAATAACACAGATCGGAGCTGCCTGCCACAGTAGCCAATTCTGAGACAGGGATGAGGTGAGCAACAAGAGTTTTATTATATATCAATATATAGGAGACAGAGGGGAATAGATTCCTCCAAAAAACCTGTCTCCCCCACTGGAGATGGGCTGAAGGCTTTTATAGGAACAGGATTATGGGTCTTAGAAGTTTGTGTTGGTTCCCCCTTGAGGTGGTCATGTCTCAGATGAGTTAATCTTTTACTGGTATTCTTGGGAGTTATTTGGCGACATTCTTGGGGATTATCTGGCGACATCCTGTTTTTTCTTGTCACAAGATGGGTGCTTCGTTCGGTTTTTCATCCTTAGATCACTATCACTTGTTTTCCACCCTCCAAGGAGGAACATCAGTTAATCTTAAACGTTTTGTAGAGATTGGAACTGAAGGGAAAGAGAAGATCATGAGACCACGTGGTGGTTAGCAATGGGGAGTATATAATAGTGAGCTAGGCCTATGCAGCCTCTTCCAATTACACTCAGTGAAATGAATATATTCTATTTTTAAGAACCAAAAATCTAGTTTGCCAGCTTTTATTTCCCGTGTG